AGTTGCACTGGGAGCAGTGGCTGGGTTCTCTGGTAAGTGTGACATGTGAGCATTACTAGGCATTTCATCCTGCCAGGCTGCAGTCGCTGCTCGCCAGGCTGCTGCTCAGTGGGAATGCTGCCGTGGCGTCGCTGGTTTGCGCTCTGCTCCTACCGGCTTTTAATGACCGGCTGGGACAGCTAGGCTTTTTTAAAGCTTTGCAAGGCTATCTGCTGATTGTATAATGTAATTTGTCAAGGAAAAAAACCTGATAAGCAGAAGCTCTAACTAAAGAGGAGAATCAGGTTGGCACAGTGACAGATGTTCGGATAAAGAAGTTGGCTCAGAGAAGATGTACGGAGTCTGATTTTTTTTTTTTTTTTTCTCCTTTTTTTCCTCTCCTCCTCAATCTGAATGAAGACTATCATGGGAACTGCATTCACATGGTGATCAAAAGAAACACTTGAGTGATGAACTGCTTTTGCAGAAGAAGGCTAAGGCAGTAATTTGAGCTTTTGTGTGCGGTAGCTAGCTTGTTCAGCTGAAGCATTCTTCCTCAACAGTATTTCTGCCTAACGCGTTCCCTGATGGAGAAGCCACAGCTACTGCCCGGTGAAGGAAAAATGAACGCTCCGCATTGCTTGTGTCCCTGACGGAGTAACGCCGTTTGCGTTGCTGTTGTTTGGGGAGGCTGGATTCAACCGGCAATATTATTCAAGGAGTTCATTGTCCCTGTGATCTGACTCATCGCATGTAAATATACTGCAGCCGTGCTGTATGTTGCAGATATTTTTCTTGCATGGGAAAGAATTCTTTTCCTCTAAGCAGGTCCTGAATAACTGCTGGAAACGAGATGCATTCTTCTGGCTGGACTGTTTTTGACATTGAGAAAGGAAGCTGTAGAATGACAGGATGATCGGAAGGCGCGTTTATTTTCAGTCACCAGAAAGTCTGCGACGGTTGATTTAAAACTGACCTTGCAGGAGTGGGTATAGCTGCGGCTGTCTCTCTTGGGGCAATTGTTCCTTGTTCCGTCCTCGGTGTAGTGTCTTCTGCAACAATGATTTCACTGTGGGGGTAGAAGGACGCTGTGGAAGTTGTGACATTAACAAAGACAAATTTGCTTGTGAAAGGACAGCTGTGTGCGACAGTGAGTGCTGTTCGAATGGAATTGGATCTTGGGATATTTTTATGAGCTGTTCCACAGTTTCATTATTGTGGTTTTGATGCCTAGAGAAATTTGATTTTGCAAAGAACAACTTTTTTTCAGCATTGTCTTGAACATCTCAGGGTGTTTAAATCTGAAACATGAAGTGTAAGGGAGGATTGGAGTGTCCTTTTTTAAATGCTAATACACCAGCAGTAGTGTTCACAAGTTTGTGAGGGCATGTGAAACAGGTGAAAGTATTTCCTCTATGGTCCTGGTTGCGATACCTGCGGTCTGGTTCCAAAAATACTGTTGCTGGCATTTTTTTGTTTGCTTTTGCTTCCTCAAACGGATCGAATGAGTCGAGTCTGTATTGTTGTTTTGGAGGAGGTGGAAGATGATTCTCCCACATTTATTTCCAAATTACCTCAGGAAAATGTATCTTTACGTCCATCGCCCTCTGGAAACGTGCTGGTAAGGCATGTTGTTTGTTGGCATATTTCCTGCTTATAATACTGTTGCAAATACCAATAGTAATTTTCCTAGGATTAACATGAATATGCATGAAGTTGAAACAAGACAAGGTGGTAAAAATTGCCTATAGTAAAGAGGGAAAAAGCTGAAACTTAATTGTAGAATCAGTATTTGCAAGGGCTCATTTTGTTTTCATGTAACTTTATTTATGGTGCAGCAATAACAGATCTTAACTCTTGTATAAGAGCAGAGGATTTTTAGAGGGCTTGGTAAACTGTATAGGAGGTAAATGGTTTTTCCCCGCTCCACTCCTCATTCCTCAATGGTACCACTTTAGAAACTGATGTAATCATTGTATTGCAACAATATGCTGTGTTTATTTTGAGAACTGATAAAGTATATAGTGTACATCAAGCAAGAGCAATTCTAAGCTAAAATAAAAAATAGCGTAAGTCATAATCTTGATGTAACTGTTAGATTCAAGTTACCACTTTCTGGAAATGATCAACACTGGGGACTGTGCTTTTATTGCTTTAAATTATTTTGTTTTGTCAAGTTTCTGACTGAAATCTTGCTAGCATACCTCAGCAGCTTTCCTTACTTACTAAGAAATCCTGCTATATTTAGTAATAGATGTGTGTGAGTGTGAATTTGTTACCATACTTATCTGATGCACTTTTGCTTTCCCACTCTATCTAAACAGGTGAAAAACTTCTAGTAACTTTAGTCACTTGCTAATGTAAAAGGCGTTTGTTTGCTCGCATTGTATAGAATTTGCAGCACATAATAATAGTCCTGATTTTATTATGAGGAGTTCTCTGTTATAAGGTAGTCTTCTGCCCCACCCCCCATGGGTCTTTTGATTTGGTTGGTTTTGGGGTTTTTGTTTTGTTTTTTTTTTTTTAAATTCCATTGACTTAGAATATGTTTGTGTGTTTGAGGTTTTTAAAACTTGGAAACTTGGAATTTCTTCAATTCTAAATACTGTTACTTATTTCTTTATTTCACTGCCTGGGATGTTTTATTTTGTCACCATCTTGTGTTTGTGTTACGTATCGAAAAAACATGTGTCTCACTAAAAACTAAAATGGGGTTATATTCTAAGATGTGTTTTTTCTTCATTTCAGCCACCATTGGTTCAAGCTATATTTAATGGAGATCCTGATGAAGTTCGAGCACTGATATTCAAGAAAGAAGATGTTAATTTTCAGGTAAAAACACACATCATTAGCTTTTTGTTTTGATACAGCTTTCTGCTGTACTAATCACTTTAAAACTTCGCTGATTCGTGAGCTGTAAATTTTATTGCTTTTATGTAATAAGCAAAGTAAAGCCTATACATACACTTAGTATTGGGAAGGAGGAGTGTAGCTTTGTAGATTTGTGTTGATAGTAAAGACTTAATTCTGTATTCCTTTCAAATGTGAGTTCTGCAGTGCTGGGGTAGCCGAAAAGTTTGTTTATACAGTTGCATCAGACATTTTAGAAAGTTAGACTGGTTAAGTATGATGTTATGTGGACTTTGATTCTTTTTAAACTAAATACAGCGTACAGTAGACATTAGACAATTATAAGAAAATAGTCTGGGGTTTCAGTAGGTGGGTTTAATAGTGGATTTTAAAAAGGGAAGCCTAATGATTATATTAATAAGTAAAAATGAGAAATTGTGTTTATAGGTCCTATTTGCAGTGCTGCAAACCCAGACACTGCAGACTTAAAAACTGTACTGAAATGAAATTGAGTTTGTTCAATTGGGTGAAATTCAGGATTTGAACAACATGCAGTTACTGTATTTGCTTTCTATTAAAATTCTAACACGCATGTTTGACACTATGTAAGATAATATACCATAAACTCTTTGACTAGAAATTGCTTTGGTTATTAAAGCAGACTGACATAAGCCATTTAAGGCTTAACACTATGGGAATGTATGTGGCTGTTTCTCCTCCAAATGCATCAGAACAAGAGTGATGCTAAAAAGCAAAGGCTAACATCTAGATGCTACATAGTGGCCAGTGTAAGACCCTGATAATTGTTTACACTTTCTTCTTGAGAGATGTAAACCAAAAGCAAATATTTAGTTTGGTATGACAAACCAAGTTGTCATACCAATAGTTTGACATTTAAAAGCATTCTGCAGAATCTATATCTGACCAATGCTAGCTGAAGTATAAGGGAGCCCTCCCATGTCTTGAAGAGCTTGAGTAGGACCCTGTATAAGTAAACTTGCTGTCAAATATAAAGTTTTGTTTGATAAGGTTGGACTTTTTTCCTCTCCTTTTTCAGTAGTTTTGCATGTTCTTCAGCAAGATTGTATGATGGATTACATAATATCAAAAGACTTAATGTTCTCTTTAGTTATGAGAGCATTAGCTGTGTATCCTTCCAGTCTCTTCATATGTATGCTCCGGTCACATTGCCATTGTTATTTTTAAATGGTAATTAGTCTGTGTTGTTTCATTTATATTCCTCTACTTGTAAGTCAGGTTTAGCATTCATAGCTATATTGCCTGTAAACAAGGTTAGGTTAGTATCTTTCTGCTTTTTTGATTATCTATTAGAAAAGCCTCTGCTAGATTTCAGTATGTATGTGGTAGTGGTTTGGTTTTGATTTTTGTTCTATCTCAAGTTCTGTCAAACAGTTGCCCATAAATATGAAGTCAACAGATACGCTTAAATAGAAAAGCATGTAATTAATTGATTCTTTGAAGAGGGATACTTCAGACTGCCAGGTATTTACAATGAAGAAAAATATTGTAGGTAGAATATTCAAAATCTGGAGGTTTTTACATTTTACATCTTCATTTTTTTTTTTATTCCTTTCTGTGGACACATCTCCCTTTAACAGAAGGGAGTGTGCATCTTAGGCTAGTAACACCCAAGGTGTGTTTAGAATCCATCCAGAACAAATATGCTATTTTTTCACAGCCACCTTCTTCAGCTTAGGCAGATGCTTATCACACATGACCATTCCTTCCTACCATGGCACTCCTAGTCCTAGTACAGTATTTAATATTACATTCACATATATCCCTTAAAAACACTGTTTCTTGGGACTAAAAGAGCATATAAATTCTCCCATTGTTTGGTAGAAATGAAGTAAACTGCCTAGTGGATTTTAATTTATGTCTGTCTCTGTTCCTTTCCTCTCTCAGTTCTTTTCCTTGGGTTTTTTGTTTGCTGTATGTACTTGGCTGGAGACAATACATCCCTGCATAGTCTAGATCCAAAGTTGTCCCCTTAGTTACATGTTATAAATCGGTGTGGACAGAGAGAGGGAAAAAAGTGAAGAAAATGAAGTGGTTATGTATATTTCCTATTAAAGAGAAGGATCGTGATAAACTGTTTTGGTCGTTGTGGATTGTATTAGACCAGTGTATATGTTGGATTTTTTTCCACTTCACTATCCAAGTGCTTCAGTACAGTTGTTTGAATTCCAGAGTCATTCCCTCCAATGCCTCTGCAGAGTCATTTCCCCATCGCAAGAGCAACTAATTATTTTGCAGTTTGTATTCTAATAGTTGAGATTCCTTCCTTCCTCCCTTCCCCTGAGCATGGGTTGGACTCTGTAACTGGAGACCTAGCAGGGTTCTGCAAATTAATTTTGGCCAGAAGAGAACTGAAGATAGAGCTGTTGTAGGTCTTTGTTGTGACAGGGACATTCATCTAGGAAAGTTGTTAGTGTCTTGATGAAATGTGGGTGGTTTTTTTCCTTCTGTTATCATCCAGCTTCATTTACCTTCTTACTTTAGGGGTATGTTATCTTTAACATTAATCACAATTGGCTTTAATACTCTTTTAAACCTAAGTGAGTTGAGTTTGTGTATTTGGCTTCCCAAAGCTAAGCTGGGGTAACTCTTTGATATTATGGTAATATCTAAAGATTGCACCCAGGTTAGGCTGTATTAGAGCATTATTCCTAAAACAGATGATGTCTTCTACCATAGTGTTATATATAGAAAGATTCTGAGGTGGGTGGCCTTTCAGAACGTCTTGCTGTGTGCGACTGTAAGATGATGTACTGATAGCAAACGGGCTTTTTGAGGAAGAAGATTGTTCTCTATTCATACCAGCCTTCCTGAGTCACAGGTTCAGTCTAGATTGAGAAAGTAAGTATTCTATTCCACTCTACAATTGTAATCTTTTGTGAAGAAAGAGCAAATTGAGTGTATCCCTAGCTGCTTAAACTGTGGTTCAAAAAGGCTTACCTTCCTTGCAAGTTGGAAGTGTGCAGTTCTTTTTATAGACAAAACTGATTTATAGGAACTTTGATCACATGTATTGTTTAGAAGGTGAACTCTGCTGAGGCTCCAATTAATGGAAAAAACAGAGGGGAAGGGCTTGCTTCTCCCTCCCCTTCCCCAAGAAATCTTGGGAGACTGTAGCTGCTTGTTTCATGAATCAGGCTTAAATCACACACATAGCATATGTCAAGACTGATACAGTTTCTGTTATACGCATGGCTTTTGCTATGCTCTGTGTGTGTGTGTGTGTGTATATATATTTTAAAAAAAAAAAAAAGTTTTTAAAAACCCTGCTATTATTTCTTGGTACCATCCTGAGCTTTTGAGACTTGGCAGTAAGGAAAATCTTGTGTGGCAACTGACACGTTTAATCTCTCTTTATTATTTAATGGGGATCTTCAACATATCCTGCTCTTACTGATTAGATTAGTATGGCTGGTTTGAATTTTATGTACTTTTCAGCAGTTAGCTTTAGCTAACTGAATGATTTCAGCATTGCCTTTTATAAATCAGGATTTGTTTGTTTGTTTTTTAAAATTTGGAGGCCTATTACTGTTGCAAACTGTGCTATTTCCGTTTGTAACCAAAACTTTTATGATGTATGCTCAGTTTAAAAGATCATGAAAATGGAATATTTCATCTCAGCTATTTGTTAAGAATATAATTTTGTGCAGGGAATACCAGCTCACTGTCAAAAATGATTTAAACGTTGCAGATCTGACTATTGAAATGATTGTTCAAAATCAGAACAATTTTTCCTCCCTAGACCTATTAGGGTAATATTTCTTGCTATGAAAAGTGATACTTCAGGTAATCCAATATGCAGTTTTTATAACCCAATTGCACTTGATCTTAGCTGAGGGGATAAACATCTGATCCTCTCTGGAACTGCTGTCGGTGTGCCCCTTGCTCATCTCACGCTAAAGCCAAACAAGCGCTCTTTTTGGAGGAATCCCAAAATCACACAGATCTCTCCCAATGTTCAGAAGTGCTCACTGCTCCTATTTAAAATAGTGATATTGACATACGTGATAAGTGACTTAAACGTGAAACACCTGTATCTTCTTGTTGTGCTTTGAGATTAAAATAGATTTAAACTATGAAATGTATTTTTAAAGCTGTTTTCTGTGTGAGTTGGTGGTGGGTTTTTTCCCAACACAAAATGTAAGGTGGGAAAATGAAATTCCACATAGTGTACCGAGGACTGCAGCAATCAAGGTTATCTGTATGCTTTCTATTCTGGACTATTGGCCATCGAGCACAGCTCTTAATTTAATGGCTCCTGTCTATAGTAAGTAACCAAAAAATAAAATAAAAGCTCACCTGTGCTACTATTTTGGGAAGAAAGGAAAACAAAAGAAAACAAAACCATAGAACCAAACAATCTTGTCCGCCCTCCCTACCCCCCCACCTGTATTAGATAGCAATGAAGTGTTGCCCGTAAATCCCGAGCTTTGTTCCTGGGACTGGTAAGGGACATGATCCAGTAGCACCAAAGTGCTAGGTACAAATAAGAGGGCCAAGTGTATGTAACTGACTTTGTTATTTGAGCAATAGGGTTGCTGCATGGATGACTGTTGCAGTAGTGATGTGGGCTCCCTTCCCAGTCCTGCTAAATGTGGGTTTGCGTAACTCCTTGTTTGTGTTATTTGCGTACTAGGAGAATGTTACTGGATGTCATTCTAGGGTAAGATATGACGTCTTATTTGATTACCTGTTAAATTTTTTAGTTTATGTTACTCTGCAGGTCACTGCATAAACTGAAAGAGGAGGAAAATTGGTTTGTTAGTGTAGTGACAAGTCTAGGACTTGTCATACAGCATTGGGGCTAGGTACCAGGAGAATTAGATTATCGAGGGTCTCAAATGCCCTAGTAATGTAGGAACTAATAATGAAAATTACAGCACAGTTTAAAAACCAAGAAAGATTCTTTGTAGTGCTGGTATTCGTTAGGGAAGTCCTAAAAG